TATATATATATAAATAAGTATTCTAGTATTTTACTACACTTCAGTATGTTATTCTTATTAAGTAGGGGTAGTTTTTTAGGATTCTATACTTCTCCTAAGTCTCTGAGAACCTGACCGCTTGTACTTCTGGAGACTCCAGGTAGGTTGCAGTTCTGGAAAATGGTGGCGCTGGAGACTAAAGGGTTCCTGGTGATTTCACACCTAATTCTTCCCCTTAATTCCTAATTCTTTTGCGGTTAACATGCATCTTTTCTTCTCCACATGTTTTTGACTGACCCTGCTGACCCACTGAGCATTTTGCTGTCCAATGGTTATGCATTAACTTTGCAATTTCTAGTATTGTATTAGTTTTGAATATTTCTCATGGGCATTTAATTTTCGTGGTTAAAGTTAACCTTTTCGACATGTTTCCGTGTTGTTGTTGCTCAGCAATGGCATGGACGCGATGTTGTCTGGGGGTTTGGCAAAAGGAGAGTGAGACTGTGGGCAGTGCTCGGGGTGGTGACTGAAAGTGGTGACTGTGTAGTTCTGACGTCAACTTTTTACGGAAGTCACAACGGTTCGTGAAAAATAGCTAGAATTTGAAGCAGGCTGTGTGCATTTTACTGTATACTGACTGTTTTGAAACTTATATGGTAGTTACATAGCCCCTAGACCTCAGTTATCGTGAAAAAAGCCAGGAAATTTCAGTTTTGACAATATGGGACCTTTAAAAATGTTTGGCAAACGAGTTGAGATTTCTGCTAAAAGGTTCAACTGTTGATCTCAGGCTACAGATTTTGAGATATTTATATAAATGTCCTAGTTTTTCAGGACATTATTAAACAAGGAATAATAAAACTATTCATATATCTTTGTGTTTGTGCTGCTTGCCTAACTTATATCATTGTTATAATTCAATTTAGACCATTTTATGAATAAGCAGTCTTGGTATTTTTGGGTGGAAATGGCTTTGAGCAAAGAGATAAAGCACCTGGAGCAGGTGAGTGTCTCTCTTTTTCTTTAGTATAATCATAATAGAAATAATGTGTGCAATTCATCTTATGTGATTTTTACTTGTTTCAGAAGACAGTGTTGCTGTTGATGGGTAAAACTGGATCCGGGAAAAGCGCCACAGGAAACATCATCTTTAATGATCGAGTGTTTGAGTCAGAAATGAGATCTTCATCAGTGACCAGAGTCTGTCAGACACACACTGGTGTTGTTAATAACAGGAGCGTGACAGTGATAGATACTCCAGACTTCAGATTCTCCACTCACACTGACTTTGATTCAGACTCTGAGCTGAAGAAAGCTCTTGAATTATGTTCACCAGGAGCTCACGTGATCCTGCTTATTCTGCCTATAAACACTTTCACTGAGCAGGAGAAGGATTTCATTGATTGGTTTCAGCAGAAGTTTGGTGCAGAAGCTCTCAGATTTACTCTAGTGCTCTTCACTCATGCAGATAAAACACGCCAAAGACCATTAGGAGAAATGATCAGTAGAAATACTCAATTATCTGATTTTATTAACCATTGTGGTCAGAGATATCATGAGTTTAATATTAAAGATCGATTAAATAGACGGCAGGTGAATGAACACTTGCAAAAGATCGACAGACTGCTGTCTGAAAACAGAACCTCCTACACATTAGACATGATGCAGGAGACTGAGAGGAGAAGAAATGAGAATGAGAGGAGGGCAGAGGAAGAGAGTAAAGAGAAAGAACATCAAACGACATTAGAGAGTTAGAATAGAAACAGAGGCACGTGTTAGGAGAGAATATGAACAGGAGATACTGGAGAAACAGAAGACGGTTTGGAAGAAGCTCAAACATCTGTTCATTAAACAGATCAATCTGAAATATTTCTGTGCAGTTATATTTTTTGCTGTAGCAACAGGAGGTGTTTCGGTGTGGAAGAAAGAGAAAGATTCTTCATATGGATGGATGTTCACTAAGGGTTTCTTTACAGGAGGATCAGCAGCAGCTGCAGGAGTTTTCACTGGGATTCTCTGGAGACTGTGGAAGAGTCAGTTTATCTGTTCATCTTCTCCTGAGCGTCCCAGTGCTGTTAGACAGTTATTGCTGAAGACAGCAGGTGTGGTGTGTGGTTTATCTGCTGGAGCTATGGTTGGTCTCTTTGTAGGAGGAAATGTGTTTCCAGTTACAGCATTAGCGGGAATAGGTGGAGCTGCTGGAGCATTGGCAGCAATACGATGAGGGTAATACAAACATATCTTTAAGAATGTGCATGAACATTTGATGTGAAGGTTTTTTTTTTTTTAAGAGCTAAATGACCCTGAAATGATGCATTAGGCAACTTATGATTTCATGTTTAATTCTGATCGATGGTAAATGTCTATCAGTGGTTGAATATTCATTGTGTTGTTTTGTGCTTTTACAATTTTTAAAACACATTGTTCATGCAAATTGGGGATGGTGATATGGTGAAGTGTGGTTTAAACTGATGTATAGTGTCTCTCTAGATGTGTGTCAAGTTACAGTAACTGAATAAAACCGATCTCATCTGCACACATGGTTCAGTGTCCTTGAGACATTGTCTCATATTTAACTTAACTAATTATTATTCTGTTAGATACATTTTACATTCATGATTATTTACTGATCATATGATCAAAGTTGTACAGAAACAAAGAGGAAGAGAGTAAAGAGAAAGAACATCAAACAACATTAGAGAGAGTTAGAATAGAAACAGAGGCACGTGTTAGGAGAGAATATGAACAGGAGATACTGGAGAAACAGAAGACGGTTTGGAAGAAGCTCAAACATCTGTTCATTAAACAGATCAATCTGAAATATTTCTGTGCAGTTATATTTTTTGCTGTAGCAACAGGAGGTGTTTCGGTGTGGAAGAAAGAGAAAGATTCTTCATATGGATGGATGTTCACTAAAGGTTTCTTTACAGGAGGATCAGCAGCAGCTGCAGGGGTTTTCACTGGGATTCTCTGGAGACTGTGGAAGAGTCAGTTTATCTGTTCATCTTCTCCTGAGCGTCCCAGTGCTGTTAGACAGTTATTGCTGAAGACAGCAGGTGTGGTGTGTGGTTTATCTGCTGGAGCTATGGTTGGTCTCTTTGTAGGAGGAAATGTGTTTCCAGTTACAGCATTAGCGGGAATAGGTGGAGCTGCTGGAGCATTGGCAGCAATACGATGAGGGTAATACAAACATATCTTTAAGAATGTGCATGAACATTTGATGTGAAGGTTTTTTTTTTTTTAAGAGCTAAATGACCCTGAAATGATGCATTAGGCAACTTATGATTTCATGTTTAATTCTGATCGATGGTAAATGTCTATCAGTGGTTGAATATTCATTGTGTTGTTTTGTGCTTTTACAATTTTTAAAACACATTGTTCATGCAAATTGGGGATGGTGATATGGTGAAGTGTGGTTTAAACTGATGTATAGTGTCTCTCTAGATGTGTGTCAAGTTACAGTAACTGAATAAAACCGATCTCATCTGCACACATGGTTCAGTGTCCTTGAGACATTGTCTCATATTTAACTTAACTAATTATTATTCTGTTAGATACATTTTACATTCATGATTATTTACTGATCATATGATCAAAGTTGTACAGAAACAAATTGAGGGAGGAATTTGGCAAGACAGACACAAGATCTGAATATAACTTTCTTCAACTTTATTGTCTCATCATACATATATAGACATGAGGGGTGGATTTGTAGCCCTTTCATCGGTAACACTTTATAATAACTCATTAATAAATCATTAACAAACATTATATAATGCTTAATAGCTCATTAGTTAATATATATTCAAAGAGTTAGAAACGTGAGATAATGTACTTATTAATGTTTGCTAATAAACGTATTAAACATAATGTTCAAACAAATCATTATTTCATGCAAGTTAAAATGCTTATGAATGTCATTAAACTTTCAATTCCATATGATCAAGCACTTATTGAAAATCTACAAATGATTTTAACAGATGCTGAATAAAAGCTTGTGTTAATGCACAACACTTTTGCTGCTATTGAGGTGTGATATGGGCAAGGTTAGGGACAGGTTTGGTGGTTTGGGTAGGTTTAAGGGTTGGTCAAAGGGTCAACAGTGTACAGGGGTCAATTTGATTATTATAAGGGAACACAGTTTATGCTTATATTATGTTTTGATAAATGAACAAGTATTTTCTTTTACAAAATGATTTGTTTTCCCATTTATTTATGATTCAAGGAATATCCTGTTTAATGACATACTGAAGAGTGGTATACTAATGTGAGTGTTAAGGCAATACAACTTTTTTTGCACCAAAATTACAATCTGTTATGTCTTTAGCAAGCATTTAGATAAACTTAACCAACCATAATTTACACAAACCTTGTTATATTAGCTAAAAGTCCAATGCCCATAAAAAATCTACAAATGATTTTAACAGATGTTATAAAATGATTAAAAGCTTGTGTTAATGCACAACACTTCTGCTGTTATTGAGGTGTGATACGGGGAAGGTTAGGCACAGGTTTGGTGGGATGGGTAGGTTTAAGGTTGGTTAAAGGGTCAACAGTGTACAGGGGTCAATTTAATTATATGGAAACATGGTTCAATCTGCTTATATTATGTTTTGATAAATGAACAAGTATTTTCTTTTACAAAATGATTTGTTTTCCCATTTATTTATGATTCAAGGAATATCCTGTTTAATGACATACTGAAGAGTGGTATACTAATGTGAGTGTTAAGGCAATACAACTTTTTTTGCACCAAAATTACAATCTGTTATGTCTTTAGCAAGCATTTAGATAAACTTAACCAACCATAATTTACACAAACCTTGTTATATTAGCTAAAAGTCCAATGCCCATAAAGATATTAAATGATTAATAATCGTTTATAAACATTTACAAATGATAAATATTTTCAACTTTAGATTGGCTACTGCAAAAACTTGAACAAATGATTAATTAATGATTAGTAAAGATGTGTGAATAGGGCAATTTCAGGTCTTTCGGGACTCTTTTTGCCATCGAGATGACTGCTCATAAAGGTATTAATGATTAGTAAACATTTGCAAATGATGAAGAACATTTGTAAATAATGAATAGTTTCCACTTTAGATTGGGTACTGCAAAAACATGAACAAATAATTCATAGATTATTTGTTAAGATGTGTAAATAGAGGTCTACACAACAAACAAAGACCAACAAATGAAGATCATATGAACTGAAAGTTTACTGACATTTGTAAGCATTTATATTTACATTAAATAATCATGTTAATCATTTGGTAAGTTCATTAGTAAACGGAACATTAGAACATCATCTCATATTTCTAGCTATGTGAATATATGTTAACTAATGATCTGTTATTAAGCATTATATAATGTTTGTTAACAATGTATAAATGAAAGTATGCATCCAGTAAGGTGAGCTTCGCTTTCTCTATATACTTTTTATGCCTAGACTTTATGACTTTATGACTAGACTTATGCCTAAGTATTATGTAAATACATATAGCCTAATTAATTGATTAATAAATTGAAATTTGTAAGTGAAGTGACATGTGGCCAAGTATGGTTACCCATACTAGGAATTAGTGCTCTGCATTTACCCATCCAAAGTGCACACACACAGCAGTGAACACACACACCGTGAACACACACCCGGAGCAGTGGGCAGCCATTTATGCTGCGGCGCCCGGGGAGCAGTTGGGGGTTCGGTGCCTTGCTCAAGGGCACCTCAGTCGTGGTATTGAAGGTGGGAGAGAGCGCTGTACATTCACTCCCCCCACCTACAATCCCTGCCGGTACGAGACTCGAACCCGCAACCTTTGGGTTACGAGTCCGACTCTCTAACCATTAGGCCACGTACTCCCCCCAGATCACACAAATCTCTCTCAAATCACATTTGACATGACAACTGGAAAATGGAAATGGAGTCGGCATTGTTTATTACACCAACACTCTCATCAGCTGTAAATTGCAACAAAAGAATTTAACCTTCCATTAAGTAAAACTGTTTTGTATTTTAAACAGAACATATATGATTTTACTTATGGCGGGAAAACCGCAAGTACATTTGTGTGTGATAAATTATAGCAGATGATCCTCTTTACTGCATTGTAAGTAAACACTTGTCATGCAATAATAATATAATTCAGTACTTTGTTCTGTGATTTAAAACAGGTTCTTCATTAGAGTTGAATCATGGACATCATCAATGTATCGTGTGCAGAGATTCAGACTCCAGTGGGTTTTCTGTATGTGATTCTGCCTGTTTTACTGAATCACACCAATAATCCTGAGTGTGAGCAGAGCTGGTATTCACAGGTCAGTGTGTTTCTGTCCTCAAACTACACCATTATTCACTCAGATACATTACTTCATCCTCTTTTGTTTGATTTAGGATCATTTAGGATTTGACTCCTTTAACAGACGGAGGCATATCTGTCATAAAGTCATATTTAATGATGAAATCGGTGGGATAAACTATACAATCTCTCTCAATAAATACTTTGAGTATAGTAATATTTAATAATCAGTTTCAATCTGTTGTCAGATGTTTTCCAAGTGTCTTTCAGCTCAATGATTCAGAAAACAGGTGAGTGAATCAAAGCGAGAGAGAGAAAGACACACATTCACATTTCATATGAGACTCTGTAAATCTGAATCTGCTGAATCTGTTTCTCTCAGGGATCCTGAATCTGGTGTCCAAATGAAGCTCAGATCTGATGAATCTGATTCACTGAATCAATCTGAAATTGAGCAGATCAACAGCTCCATGTCCAGAGGATGATCTTCATCATCATCATCACTGTTATTTACTC